ATGCAGAGGGCAATATCCTCCCTGGAGCGGCGGAGGCACTGGGAAGAGAAAACGAAGTCAACATTGCCAAGATCGCCTGGCTCAGCAGGAAGGATACTGGCAAAGCATATGGCTCGATGGTTGTTTATGTAACCAAGGGCAGCGAAGCGAGACGGCTCCTGGATGCACGCTACTTCCATATAGCTGGGGAATCAGCTTACACAGCTGTGTTTGCACCCCGTGAAGGTCCGATCCAGTGCTTCAACTGTCAAGAACTAGGCCACAAGGCCTTTGCATGCAAGAAGCCACAGACATGTGGACGGTGCGCTGAACAGGGACACCATCACAACACATGTCAAGCCACAGTGATGAAGTGCGTGCTTTGCAGAGGACCACACGAATCGTTCAGCAAGAACTGCCGGGTACGCTGGCTGCATAATGGCACACGGGACGCTCAAAATTCTTCAGCTTAATGTCCACAAGCGGAAAGAGGTGCAGCAAAGTCTGCTAAACGACGAGGATATCAAGGACTATGCAGTGTTGGCGGTCTCAGAACCATACGCGAGGACGGTGGACGAAGCGGTGGTGACCGTCCCAATGGGACATCACAACTGGACCAAGTTGATACCAACGACAAAGTGGAACACAACTTGGCCAATCCGGAGCATGATGTGGGTACGAAGCGACATGGAGGTTGTCGGAACCGCTACGAGGCAAACGAAGGGAAAAATGGTCAGTGGTCGCAGAGTGTCACGAGGATGTCAATTTTTTGGTTGTTCCTGATGTTGATTGTGTTCTGTGTTCTCAACTGTCCGATGTTCCAGAGAGCCTCCAGGGTGTCTATCACCAGCCACATGTGGGTCCGTCTTGGCACCCCTGAATCAGGGTTCACGTTCCAACAGAGGTCGAGCAGATCCCAGTGCCGTCAGCCGACCTCACTGCAGCACAGATTCGACTCCCAGATCGGACAGTGCTGATAGTGTCAATCTACGTTGAGGGTGGCAACAACGTAGCTCTGGACGTCGCAATGGGAGAGCTTGATGGGGTTAATCAGAAGGTTCCGAGACGGAACGGGAAATAGAACAGACGTCGTTCTCAACTTTACTTTGGGCCTAGAGGCCAAGGCGGCAGCGCAAAGGACAACGAGGCAAGGACAGATACCCAACCTCCAAATGCCCCAAGCCAAGTCCACCGCAATCAGGCTGGCA